GATCTCTTGTCCTGTTATTCAGAATTGGGTGTGTTGGGGATAGGCAAATGCTAAAAACATGCAGTATTAAGCTTTAAAACACTCTGTGCCATCCCTGCACCTTCTCACCCAGGCAGGCCCAAATGCCAGAAGGGGTCCTGTGATCGCAGACTCTGCGTGGAATTCCGGGGCAGAGAAGCCCAGGGCGGGACTCTGGGCTGCCTGGTGCCCCCACCCTAGCCCCGGATACGCACTCTGGAAGTCCAGCCGCAGCGACACGACATCCTTGAACAGGATGCCCTCCTGCCTGGCCAGCTGCCCGGCCTCCTCCTGCGGCCCTTGTTCTCCGACAGCCAGCTTGAGCATGTCTGCGTCCATCACTCTCGGCTCCACGGAGTCGTACAACTGCTGCATTTTCCCTAAAAGACATCACGTTCCTCTTCCACGGTCTGCTTCTCCCTTTGTCTGAGGACATGGTCCGGCTGGGGTCTCTTTAAGGCATTGGGGAGCACGGTGACAGTCACAGAAGGTTCGGGGCTGCCCAGTCCCACTCCTCATTCCACTCCACCCAGGGGCCAGTACTTTTGCACCAAGGCTGCTCCAGGCCTTTTCCAGCAACCATCTGTTCTGTCCTGCCTGCCACCCACCTGCGGGGGTGCACCCCTTGGTCTCACAACCATGGCTGTGACCCTACCCCAACCCAGCAGACTGGCGCCCACGCTGGTCTCTTTGGACCCTGGAGCTCAGCTGCTCTTGTGGCCATGGCCATCTTCGGCCTCTGGCTATTCTCAGCCAGCCTTGTTCTGTGTCTTGCCACCAAATGCTGACCAGGATCTTTGGTAGCCCCTGCCAGGCAGAGCAGCTCCCCTTCTCTCTGAGACTCCCCCATCTCCCCACAAGCTGCCCACTCTGTGGAGACCAGCAGACACTGACCCAAGCTGGCCGTTCCCATTCTTCCCCTTAGAAATGTGAACTTGGGGCAGCAGGAAAAAAGTGCCATCAGAGCTGGCTGAGTGAGCTGGGGGGCGGGGGACCTGGGGGGTCGCCGGCTGGCTAGACGTGTGTTAAGCAGAGAGAACAAGAGGAGGAGGAGGCAGATGGACAGAGAGAAACAGAGGTAGGAACCTAGGTGAACCAGAAAATAAGACCAAAGGGCCGAAAGACTGATAGAGTCTTTGTTGGCTTTCCCACCCCTAATGATCCTAATTCCAGGCCCTGTGAGAGTTTCCTGACTTCTCACATTAAATCTGATTTTACTTAAACTGAGTCCAGTAGGTTTCTGCTGCTAATGGGCCAAAGGATCTGGCAGAAATCCTGCAGGCAAATGGGGATCTGTGGAGTTAGGGAGTCACAAGCTGACCTCAGGCTACTGTTCCTGGCTGGACAGAGCCCCAGCTCTGGGAAGCGTGGGCACCGTGACCTCATTCTCATCCTTACCAACCTAAGAGTAAGAACATCCAGAAGGGTTGGACCTTTCTGGGAAGGTGCACTCTATGGGAAGCTCCCAGATTCTACCTCCTGAACCTTCTGGAAACTCAGTCCTCCCTTCTACTTCCCACCCCTGTTTCTCACCTCCCTGCTGGCTTCACCATCTACCTTTGCCCTCTTGGTCCTCGACACCCAGGCCTCTTTCTCGTTGCTGGGCAGCCCCTGTATTACTCCAATGAGCGCTGGTGGAGAGACTCCTGGTGTTGGGGTGATGGTGTCCACCGCAGATGGGGGTGGGCCTGGCAATCCTGCCACCTGGTCTTAGAGACTGCCACTGCCCTCCTCTGCCCTCCCCACCATCCAACTGAATGCAGCTTATATAAATGTGCATCTGCCATTTCTGGGCTGTCTGTGATCAAATGTCCCTACGCATTTAACTGTCGTGTATCCTCTCCTTCTGTCCCCAAGTGCCCACGGAGCCACAGCCTCCCCTAGCCCCACTCCCACCCCCGAGCTCTACCACCACCATGCTGCTTCTCCACCTGCATCTTCCATCTTCCCACTCTCTCTGGTCTCTCAACGCTGACTCCAAATCCTTAGAGTGAATGAGTCAACTCCCCACGTTTCCAGTCCTCCCCCTCTTTCCATCTCCCCGCTCTGTTTTTTTTCTAAGATTTCTAAGATTTCCCATAACCTGACACCAACTTGCCTTTGGGGAAATTTTCACGTGCAGTGTTTGGCAGATGTTACCTGTGAAAAGTTTGTGCTTTCTCAAAGAAAAGTGCTGTACTTTGGGAAATGCCTCTTAATTCTGATTTCAGAACCGTAACTGACTTCTCATCACTCCTACTTCTTCTAGGTCTGGCACCTGGGACGGATCAGGCTTGCTTTCCTGTCAAGCCCACAATCACTACTCAATGTGGAAGGGTTGTGAGGCACACTCTTTGTTAAGCACAAGAGGGCAGGATTTGGAACCTGGGTGTGCATCTTTTGGCAACTAACCTCACCTGTCTAAGCCTCTGATTTCCTGTCTGTAAAAATGGATAAGTCCTCCCTCCTACATTTGTTTAAGATCATTTACTCAGCCCACACATGTGTCATGAATAGCTACTACATGCCATGAATAAAACAGATCTCCTTCCCTCTTGTTTCAGACGTGAATCAGATCATCATACAAATATTTAATTACAAACCACGACAAGTTTGTAGATGTCGGGAACGAGGACAGCATACATTAGGGGCACCTGGCCTGGCCAGGGGAGACAGGTCTGGGATCTGAAGCAGGAGTAGGAAAGAGGGAAGTGGGACCGGCACAGCGAGGGCCTGAGGGTGGGAGAGAAAAAGCCATATTCCATTTGGGCTGAATTGAAGCGAGGTTGGAGGGACCTACAGGAGTTTATTATTCTAGGATCCCTGGGAAGCTCCTGGGGCTTAACGAGAGCAGGGACTTGGTCAGCTTTGGGTTTTAAGAGGCTCACTCTGGCTGTCATACTGAGATCGGCAAGAGCCGTGAGCAGGGTGGTGGTAAGATGTGGCTGAGAGAGATCTCCGGGAACTTCACTTATATGTAGGACTAATCATCGGCAGTTTCCAGACTTAAAAAACAAAAACAAAAACACAAGGGGCGCCTGGGTGGCTCAGTGGGTTAAGGCCTCTGCCTTCGGCTCAGGTCATGATCCTGGGGTCCTGGGATCAAGCCCTGCGTCGGACTCTCTGCTCAGCAGGGAGTCTGCTTCCTCCTCTCTCTCTGCCTGCCTCTCTGCCTACTTGTGATCTCCGTCTCTCAAGTAAATAAATAAAATCTTAAAAAAAAAAAAAAGGAAGCTAGGTTGAAAAGTTAAGTAAGATGCCTAAGTTAATACGTCTATATGGCATATGGCAGAGGCAGGGGACCATGACTCCAGAGCCCATTTTTTTAATCACGACTCAGCTGTACCCAGGGCACTATGGATTTTCACCGTCACAATGCTCAAGGTTTCTCAGCTGTTCTGGGTCAGGGCCGAGGTCCGACCACTCCTCTCCTAAAGAGGCTTTTATCAACATTTTACCACCCAACTTGGGTTCCTGTTGACTTGTCTGACACCTGTATTGGTGGTGAAGACCAGAGGTAGGAGATGGGGAAAGCAGCCGCTAGTCCTACAACACTGCCAATGGAGCAGCCTCCTCACCGAGAAACAAGACCAGGAACATGGGATCGATGGAATCTGAAAAACATACCCCTACTGGCCATGGATTACTGAGGGAAAATCAACAATTAACAGAGTGCTTCCTGGGTACTAAGTGCACACTCATTTCTTAATTGCATGTCGGCTCTGGAAACCATTGGAGAAAAGAGTCCTAATTCCCTCATTTCCCAGAGACGGAAACTGAGGCCCGGGAGGGGAAGGAAATTGTCCCAAGTCGTACAAGGAGCTACGGAGAAGAGAGAGGAATGGAGCTCTACTTGATACAGCACCAGGTGAAGAACACATACATTTTATCACCACTAAGAGGTCGGATATGAGGGTTAAATACTCGGGGGGCGCCTGGGTGGCTCAGTGGGTTAAACCTCTGCCTTTGGCCCGGGTCATGATCTCAGGGTCCTGGGATCGAGCCCCGCATCGGGCTCTCTGCTCAGCAGGGAGCCTGCTTCCCCCTCCCTCTCTGCCTGCCTCCCTTGTGATCTCTCTCTCTCTCTCAAATAAATAAATTAAAAAAAAAAATTAAATACTCGGGAGAACTTATTGGTGGACCGGGACCTTTGTTTCGGTAACAGGGATGAGGCCAGGATGTTGGGGTATGGAGCTCCTAAAAAAGACCTCTTCGGGGCCTGCTCCCGGAGGAAATGCGTCCTTAGCAATCTTTCTGATCCGAAGTCCTGAAAGCCCAGTGTCTCAGCCCGCCTGTGACCTGGCTAGCAGAGAACCCGGGCGCTCATTTTACAGATGAGGAGGGCCGGGCCGACTCCCAGAGAAAAAGGTCAGAGGAAAGCGTTAAATCGAGGGTCTGTCTGCCCCTGCGAGTCCTCCCGCCGTCTCCGCTCCAAGGTCTCACCGTCTCAAGAGCCAGCCACCCGACTGCTTCTCGGCAGAGGACGCTTCGCCCGGTTACTAAGGGAACCAAGCGTGGCCAGTCGGTTGCTAAGGGGAAGTCGCGTGGTAGACATCCTGGGTGAAAGTTGACGGTCACGTGATAGCAGTTCTCGGGTGGGGAAATAGTCCTACAACCAACCAGCAGTAGAAAAAACAAATGTTTCTCCAATCAGCACTTACTATGGGCAGGAATATGAGTAGCCCCGCCTCATCCCCGCCCCCACTTGAATGATTGACTCGTCTCTTGCCCAATAATAGCAAGGACTCGCTAGATTGACCAAAATATAGCTGAATCAGAACACATAGAGTCTCGTTCGGAGGCGGGCCAGGGAAGGTGCCGCTACGCCTGACGGAGATTCCTGTGACCTAGCTCGCTGCTCCGTCCAATCGGGCGCCGCGGGGGTGGGCGGGGCTTCACGAGGGAGGCGTAGGGGCCAATCGGAGAAGGGCTGGGCAGATGCTGCCCAATGGGGACGCGACAAGGGGTGGGGTCAGGGGCCGGGCGTTCGGCGTTCGGGAGGGTGGGGCGGGGGCAAGTGTCAGTCAGGTCGGGAGCGCGACGGGGGACAGCGGGGACCCGGGCGGCTGACAGGGGGCCCGGGCCGCTGCCGTGTTGTCCGCTCAAGATGGAGTTCCTCCTGGGGAACCCGTTCAGCACCCCTGTGGGGCAGTGCCTCGGTAAGGCCGCGCGAAGGGTGGGCAGTCTGGGTGGGCGACGGCGGCGGCTGGCGGGGCTGGTGAAGAGCGCGGGCCTTCGCCGGGCACCGGTGCCACCCCACGGGCCGCCCGGGCATCCTTGCCGTCGGGCCTCTGCCCACGGGCTGCCTGCGCCTACTCACGGCGCCGGTGCTACCGTGCCAGGCGGGTTCCCGAGGCCCGGCTTGGACTCGGAGATGCTCCGCGCGTCCCTCCGGATCCGGGCCCAGCCCCTCCGGGCTCCTGGAAGTGGTGCCGGCTGCTGGGGTCCACTTGCCTCCTCACGGTCTGTGAGATGCCACCGAGTGCGCCCTCATGCAGGCTGACGCTCTCGCTGCCACTGGCGTCAGGACCCAGTTCTCCCACACCCTTCTCCCTCTATCCTTGTCCCTCTTTTCAGTACCAGCAGCCCTCAGACCGGGCACCCTCCCAGAGAATACTCCCTGCTCTGAGACTTGCTAATTAGAGCTGCAGCTCAGCTAGCCTGTAGGAGGGACTGGGATGGGGGGAAGGGTTCCCGGAGGGTGATTATCTTGCCAGGGGGATGGCATGCCTTCACTGCCTCTGGGGAAGACGGGAGGCTGTGTTATTTAATGATAAGAGCCCTGGTCTGGGAATCAGGAAGCCGGGGCTCCAGAGGGGCTTTGCCAAGTGACTCTTCCTATATGATTTTGTGCAAGTCACTGCTCTTTCTGGTTTGACATTTTACCTGTTCAGTGAGGTGTTTGGAGGTGAGATGGGCCAGGTCCCTTCAAGTTCTAAAGTTTTGATATTCCTTAGTTTCTGCATCTGCACATTGACTGTTGCTTCCTTGCTGTGTTAAATTTGCCCAAAGCTGAAGTCTCTTGGTGACAGCGTAGAGAGAGGGGTGCTCTGTAGTACCTGTTAATTCTATGTGGCAGCTGTTGGTACCAGGAAAAGGGCACCAGAGACGATCGGTATCCTGGGTAAGGAAAAACTCAAGGCTGTGTGAAAACTCAAGGCCAGAATGGCCCCACTGTGTGGGGTTTCTTTACTAAAAAAGCAACTTGCCTTTTCACCCAAGACCGTAACTTTCGCCAGCTGATTAGCTGAGAATGTTGATTGCTTTCTTTTAAAACTGGGTTCCTCCTGGTTGGTGGAAGGACTGGTAAAACGTCTTTAATGAGTGGGGACCTTTGGTGTCCTTCTGGGCCTGCCTGGTTTAGGCAGTAGTGATTTGTTTATTTCCTGATGTACTTAAGACTTTCTTGCTTATTTTTCAGCCTTTAGTGGGGTCTGGGAAATTATTGAGGCCTTTCCTGTTGGCTAACTGGCATTAGGAGCCTTCCTTTTCTTTGTAGTGTAAAGCTTTTGGTAAAGGATAGGATGGACATGGGGCCTGGGGTGAGTCTCTCCCCACCTTTACAGACTATCGTGTCTATCTAGATTTTCTTCCTCATCTCCTTTCCTCAGGTGCATTTTCTTTTCCAAAACCTCATTTCTCAGTTGGATGGATATTGAATCCCAGCCAGCTGCTGGAGGGCACTGGTAAACTTGAAGGAATTTATTTTCTTTTCTGTCTCTTTTACAGTAGGAAATGCTACCCTTTGGAAATGCCAGGGTAGCTTGTGATGGGTAGAAGTTAAAGGACATTTAAAAATATACAAATATTGGGACGCCTGGGTGGCTCAGTTGGTTAAGCGGCTGCCTTCGGCTCAGGTCATGATCCCAGCGTCCTGGGATCGGGTCCCACATCGGGCTCCTTGCTCGGCAGGGAGCCTGCTTCTCCCTCTGTCTCTGCCTGCCTCTCTGTCTACTTGTGATCTCTCTCTCTCTCTCTCTCTGACAAATAAATAAAATCTTTAAAAAATATATATATACAAATATTATGGATATAGGGATACATAGCGAGTGGAAAGAGAGTGATACTTCTATCAGGAAGGCCCAAGTTGAGTTATGCCTTACCCATTTTTTGGCTGTTTGACCTAGAAAATTGTGTGACCCTTCTGAACCTTAGTTTGCTGAGAGAAAAGGAGAGAGATTCATATTGGGAGTAGTGTAGCTTCAGTAAGATGACCGTTGCCCGGTACATAGTAGAGGCTCAATAAATTGCAACTGTCACTGTTAACAACAGAAGAGTTAAGTTAGTTTTGAGTGCGGTATCTGGAGAGGATATGGGGGACACCTGGCCCATCTATGACCTGGGAGGGAACAGACCTGGCCCTTCTATGACCTTGGAAGGAACAGACCCCGCATTCACCAGCCCTTAGGCAAGACACTTAGCCGGGAAGAGAATGAAGCGTCCTCACTGTCAATTTGGTCAACAGACAAGGCCCAGCTGATTTCACAGTTCAGATAAATTAGAGGATAGAAGGAGGTTCTAATGTAAATTCTGTACTGTTGTGACAAAGTGTAAAAGTGATTTTCAAGGCATTTAGTGTTGTTAGTATTCTTTGAAAAGTATTTCCAGGTGGTTGACCAAAGAGAAGGGAGACAGAAATAAAACAAAGCTGATGAGTAAGAAACAGCACCTGTAGCTTGTGCAGAGCTAATCTACAGCTAATACTTGCTTCTTCCGGCTGCTCTGTGGAATAAGTTTTGTTGTCCTTCTCACTTAAGAGATGGGAAAACCGAGGTGCAGAGGAGTGAAGCCGCTGCTCAGCTGGGAGAAGGGAGAGCTGGGGTTTCGTGGCTCTGCTGGTCCTCGGGGATTTCCGATGCGGAGAGGGAGAGCAGAGATTCTTGGAATCACAAGCACTGACAGAAGGCTGCTGCCTAGTTGAGTGCTTAGGTGAGTAGTGGAGATTGTCCGTGTTCTTAGGAGTCCAGAAGATTCCAAAAGAGCTGGGGAGATAGGACTGGCTTCCTGGAGTCTAGGGGCTATTCACGAGGGTGCCTGGGAATTCCACAGGCAGAGAGGAGGACACCCCCTGCCTGGAGGGGGATGTGGGCATATCCGTGTTACCAGTCTGAGTGGAACAGAGGTTGCGGTGGGGGACAGTGACAAGCTGGGTTTGGGCCTGGGATATCAAAAGATGTCATCAAAGATGACATTGCTCAGCTGACTTCCAGGTTTTAGCTTCTCTCGCCCTTGTTTTACCCACTCATAAAATAACACCTCTCAATGGCTACGTGGGGCTTGCACTGAAACAGTCCCACCAGCCTAGTTCAGTAGGCCTTCTGAGAGTCTGTGGGTGCCAGGCTCTGGGGTACAAACGTTTAGTAGCTGCTCGCAGGGAGCCTTCTGCAGAGGTAACATGTTCATCAAAGGTGAGCCGGAGCTGCAAAAGGTTAGGGCAAAGCGTTAGGCTCGTAGTCTCAGGGCTTGGTCATTATTATTATTACCATCTGGTTGTGGTTTTCTGTCGTTATCTGACAGCCTGGTTGGTTCTCGTCCGCATTAACTGTCTGTAGATTCGTCAAAGCGGTGACGAGTACATAGGTAACGAATGTACCAAGAACTTGTTGGGTGAATCTTCGTCTTCATTACGGTTTCCGGACAGCTGCACACGCTTACGGTATGGGACTTTCCTTATTCCTCTGGCCCAGACAGCTTTGTTGTCAGTGTGCACATCTGGAGTTCTCACCTCCTTCCTGAGAAATTTCTGGATCTTTTAGGAGTGTCCGAGAACATGCTACTTGAAACCCGCTGCACGGATGTGTTTATGAAGGTTGATGGTGTGTTCTCTGGTCAATGCCTCGTTCATGGCAGAATGGCCCTTTTCTCACCTGCTTTGTGGGAACCATTCTGCTGGGCCCAGGTTGGAAAGAGGTAGGGTAATTACTACTCTGTGTCATGCTTGGGGCCTCACACGGACATTCTAACCTGGGGCTCTTTGGTTGAACAGGCAGCTAAGCCCACAGTCTGACATAGTTCCCTGTGTATTCTCGTAGCCGTCCTCACTGTCCTTCTTCTGGAAGGTGGTTCCCGAGTAGAATGGATGACTTAGAGCAGAACAAGCAGTAGTATGAGAGGCTAGGAAGTGTGGAGGAAGAAAAAGTAGTACTTTTGTTCCTGGAGTTTCTCTTCTGAAACATTTCAAAAGGTTCCTGTCTTAATCTAAACCCTCCACGACCACAGGGGGTTGGATATCACATACTAGGGTTTCCCCAAATCAGGTCTATGGTGCGGTGCAAGTGGTGACAGTTCTTGTATTGGCTGGAAAATGCTTTCAGATTATCCTTTTTCTAAGAGTAAAGTTTGGATCCATTTAAATGGAAACAGTAGGGAGTAGTTCCTTAATTCTGAGGGGAATGCTGGGCGGGTGAGGGGGGTTAAGGGAGGACGGTGTATTCTCTTAATGGCTCAGCTTTCACCAGCAGGTAAGAAGTAGATACTCTGTTGCAGAGTTTGTGCTTGTAGATTGGACATGAACAGCCTTCTCCTGCCCTGGGAATGCTAGGTGTTCCAGAGCTGGGCTGTTTGTTCCAAGAATAATTAGTTGTCCCTCAGATGCTATTGCACTTGGCATTTCGCCAAGCCCTTTCACCTAGGTCCTTTTATTTTTTGTTTGCCCCCCAGTCCATACACAGGAAGACATCTGAAAGGAGCTTAAAATTATTAAGCACCTGCTGTATGCAAATTCTGTCTGTGGGATCTCATGCAGTCCTCACAATATTTAATTATCTGTTACTGTCTGCCTGTATTGCTTTGAAGGAGGCTGAGGGTCTGAGAAGTTAGGAGACTGGTGTAAGGTTTTGTGCCCGAGTTAAGCCTGGAATCTGCTCCTGGGCCCGTGCTCCTCTTACACTGCCATGTTGCCTTGCAGACCTCATGGTTCAGGGTCAGCAGAATCACTCGAAGGGCTTGTTGGAACGGGTTGCTGGGCCCTATTTTTCAGAGTTTCTGATTCAGGAGGTATAGGCTGGAGCCTAGCATTCAACGTTTCTAAGTTCCCGAGTGATGTTGCTGCCGCTGCTGCTGCTGGTCCAGGGACCACACTTTGAGAAATATAGCTCCAGATTAAAAGTTCCGCTCCCTTGATCTCCTCTTTACCGTTCCTCAAACAGTAAATATGGGT